AACACACCACCCCGTATAACACACCACCCCGTATAACACACCACCCCGTATAACACACCACCCCGTATAACACACCACCCCGTATAACACACCACCTCATTTTAAGAAGGAAATTTCTGGAAAAAAACAACTAAACATTATATCGGCGTATAACACGCACACATCGTTCCCCCCCCCCCCCTCCCCCCCCCCTATTTTCAGGGAGACAAAGTACGTGTTATCAGTCAATAAATACGGTTATTGTCTTGGGTAAATACATGTCGGAAGTAGGAATTAAGATGTGTAAATTTTTATGTGGAGGACAACATAGTTAACTCCTATCGTGCTGCATTTGTGAAAAGGAGATGCTACATTCTCTTTCAAAAATTTGGGTATGTTCATTTTGCCCAGGGCAGCACAGAATATGTCTCAAAATAAAGGAAGGATTTTGATAAATAATTAATTTTCTTGGGTAAATACATGTCGGAGGTAGGAAATAAGATGTGTACATTTTCACGTGGATGACAATATAGTTAACTCCTATGGTATTACATATGTGAAAAAAGAGATGCTAGTCTCTCTTTTCACAAATATTCTTATGTTTACCAATTAAGAAGATCAACGGCGTTAACAAATCTTGGGTACATTTATAGAAGTATAACCATGAATAGCACAACCAAATCATTGGACACATTTGAACAATTATTTTTTAGAAAAGAGATAGGTTAATATTTACTTTCCAAATATTATAATACATTTGTGATTGTACTTTGTGAAAATTAAAGAGATTTGTATTTAATGAGATTAAACATTTAAAATTTTAAAATAAACAACAACAAGACTCAAATCTGTTCTAGACGTGAAAAATGTTGCGCGATTCTTCTTTAAATGAAAGAATTCTTTGTTTTACGATTTTCTAATATATATATATTTTTAAAAAGGCAAAAAATGTGTTTAAATTTTTGCTGATGATATCAATATATATCTAATTCCTATAACATAAAATATTTTATATCATATATAGAGTTTTGGTGTAAATTTAAGGCAAGTTTTTAAAACAATTTTTAGAGAAAAAAAAAGTGGTAATTCAATGGCACGAAAAGGGGTAAATCTAAAGTATTTCTCTAACGTAGTAATTGTGACTCAATTAACTTCTTTAGTGAAAAAAGTGACATTAGTAATAATTTACACTGTGTACTTTAAGGTCATGTTTAGAAGGGGGGAGGGAAGTAGTTAAGGAGCGTGAAAAGGCGTAGGGTAGGCCTATAATAAATAGCAGTTGAATTCTTCTCAAAACTTATTGATGTTAGAAAAGTAAATATTATTACATTTTTAAAGTTATGAATTGTGATGAGTTTTTGCAATAGCAGTTAGAAATTATCGCATAGGATCTACCATTATCATCCCGATAACATCGGGTCATTTATTCTAGTATATAAGAATGAGCTAGAGTGACATAACGCCAAAGGGGAGATATGACTTAGGTACTTTCGGATTTCTAAAAAAAATCATAGTTATTTTCTATTATTTTACGGAAATCGATCCAACGTAATTGCTCAGATCTTATTGGAACCACCTGAACAGCATCTTCTCAGAGGAAGACACCCCAACCAAAATTAAAAAAACAAAAGCTTCTGGTTTCTAAATTCTGTTTTTCATTTTGAAATATTCCGGGAGCCTTAAATTATCTTTTTCTTAT